TAGTATTGTGTCCTACTGATCCCAGTATTGTGCCCTACTGATCCCAGTATTGTGCCCTCCTGATCCCAGTATTGTGCCCTCCTGATCCCAGTATTGTGCCTTCCTGATCCCAGTATTGTGTCCTCCTGATCACAGTATTGTTCCCTCCTGATCCCAGTGTTGTGCCTTCCTGATCCCAGTATTATGTTCTCCTGATCCCAGTATTGTGCCCTCCTTATCCCAGTATTGTGCCCTCCTGATCCCAGTATTGTGTCCTCCTGATCCCAGTATTGTGCCCCCCCCATGCTGTGCCCTTCTGCCTTCAGAGTAGGCATGTAAATTGGAGCAGGCTGGGAGGGGCCCTAGTGCATTACTTTGCCCAGGGGCCCGTGATACTATTAAGACAAGCCCTGATGCAGACACTTGAATATTCCTCACTAGAACACTAAACAAGCATCAGGTGGTTATAATGAACACTGACCCTCCCTTTCAGAAGTCAGTCTTAAAAGGACACAGTGGAACAAACTGCTTCAGAACAGGAATCTGCAACATTTTTAAAAACCCTTTCAATGTACATACTGTATATAACCCAAAGGGGATTTTTTTTTTAAACAAAACCGGAGTTACGCTTTAAATTCATTTTTTTTAATTCAAATACATTTTTTTTCAGCTCCAAAAAAATGAAAGAAAATTTGTCATCTATGATTAAACACGGGTTTTTAAATCTCCAACTGAATAACTGCATGTTGTATCATTCTAATGTTTTCCAATGCGGGAGCTTATTCTGCCGATTAGGAAAATATCTGGATGTGATTAAAGTTATGAGAACAAATTCAATCATACGAGCTGGTACTTCTGCTGCTGTTGTACTGGGCATGATATCCTGATTCTACAATCCATTCATCAGCTTCATGTAATCTGTAGTAGGATATAACATGATGTAATTATGGCCATAATCTCTTCAATCCTGAGATTATTAAAATCAATAAAGTTTGTTCAATTGGATCCCGAGTAGGTTAAAAAAAAATCAATAAAAACAACTTAATGTTAAATTAGAACAGTTTATTTATTGAAACATTTTTTTTCCTTTTCAGTAGCAGGACTGTGCTCATTTACATACCGGTGCGGCTTGTCATGGGATTTGACAGTTTGAAATCGCATGACAAGTCGCACCCTATTCTCCGCAATTGAAGCGGTCATATAGGTGCAATTCTGACTTCGTCGGAGTCGCACCCATTTTGAAAGTATTACATGCACTACTTTTTTGCAAGTTCTAGTGCGACTTGCTTAGACATCTGGGCATGAAGTCGCACAGATGTCTTGGAAGTCGCACCTGAAGTCGCACTGACAACCGACTTTGAAATCGTGCAGCTTCAGGTGAAGTCGCACGATTTTAACCTCCCTAGCGGTCTGATTATGTCCATATTTCTGTGCTCAAAGCAGTACATTTTTTTGCATGGAAATATGTATTTTTTTTATTGTAGGCCTGTAATATTTTGTTGTAGGAATAACTCACTGAAATCTGTCCGAACAAGAGTCTAGTAAACATCCCCGGGTATGTTACAATTTGAAACGCGAAATCATAAATTATAATTTAATAAATAATCATAAAAAATAACAATATAATAATTAGAGATGAGCGAATCGAACTTGGCACAAAGTGGAATTCGTTTCGAATATTAGGAAAAATTCGATTCGCACCGAATCCGAATTTTAGCAAACTTTCGGATGCACGAATCGAATTTTTTCCCGATCAGCCGGCAAAAAGTGTCACTGCAGAGAGCTCCGCTATTTCTGACAGTTCTCTGACAGTTCCTTCACATTTACAGCGGTTGAAACATTGTATCTATTTGTTTCCATTTAGGATACAGATGTTTTTATTCGGAAATAAAATAGATACAATGTTTCAACCGCTGTAAATGTGAAGGAACTGTCAGAGAACTGTCAGAAATAGCGGAGCTCTCTGCAGATACACTTTTTTGCTGTACTGGAATTCTTCTTCTTTTCATTCTTCTTCTTCTTTTCATTCTTCTTCTTCTTCTTTCATTCTTCTACTTCTTCTTTTCATTCTTCTTTTCTTTCATTCTTCTTCATTTTTCATTCTTCTTCTTCTTCTTTTCATTCTTCTTCTTTTCATTCTTCTCATTCTTCTTTTCATTCTTCTTTTCATTCTTCTTCTTCTTCTTTTCATTCTTCTTCTTCTTCTTTTCATTCTTCTTTTCATTCTTCTTCTTTTCATTCTTCTCATCTTCTTTTCATTCTTCTTTTCTTCTTCTTCTTCTTTTCATTCTTCTTTTCATTCTTCTTCTTTTCTTTTCATTCTTCTTCTTCTTTTTCATTCTTCTTTTCATTCTTCTCATTCTTCTTTTCATTCTTCTTTTCATTCTTCTTTTTTCATTCTTCTTTTCTTCTTTTCTTCTTTCTTTTCATTCTTCTTTTCATTTCATTCTTTCTTCTTCTTCTTTTCATTCTTCTTATTCTTCTTTTCATTCTTTCTTCTTCTTCTTTCAATCTTCTTTGCATTCTTCTTCTTCTTCTTCTTCATTCTTCTTTTCATTCTTCTTCTTCTTCTTCTTCTTTTCATTCTTCTTCTTCTTTCTTTTCATTCTTCTTCTTCTTCTTTTCATTCTTCTTCTTCTTCTTTTCATTCTTCTTCTATTCTTCTTCTTCTTCATTCTTCTTTTCATTCTTCTTCTTCTTCTTTTCATTCTTCTTCTTTTCATTCTTCTTCTTCTTTTCATTCTTCTTCATTCTTCTTCTTCTTCTTTTCATTCTTCTTTTCATTCTTCTCATTCTTCTTTCATTCTTCTTCTTCTTCTTTTCATTCTTCTTTTCTTCTTTTTCTTTCTTCTTTTCATTCTTCTTCTTCTTCTTTTTTCATTATTCTTCTTCTTCTTTCTTCTTCTTCTTGTCATTCTTCTTCTTCTTCTTTTCTTTTCATTCTTTTCATTATTCTTCTTCTTCTTCTTTTTCATTCTTCTTCTTCTTTTTCATTCTTCTTTTCATTCATCTTCTTTTTTTTCATTCTTCTTTTCATTCTTCTTTTCATTCTTCTTTTCATTCTTCTTCTTCTTCTTTTCATTCTTCTTTTCATTCTTCTTTCTTCATTCTTCTTTTCATTCCTCTTCTTCTTTTCATTCTTCTTCTCATTCTTCTTCTTCTTCTTTTCATTCTTCTTTTTCATCTTTCTTCTTCTTCTTTTCATTATTCTTCTTCTTTTCATTCTTCTTTTACATTCTTTTTATTCCTTTTCTTCTTTCTTCTTTTCATTCTTCTTCTTTTCTTTTCATTCTTCTTTTCATTTCTTTCTTCTTCTTTTCATTTTCTTCTTCATTCATTTCATTCTTCTTCATTCTTCTTTTCATTCTTCTTCTTCATTCTTCTTATTCTTTTCATTCTTCTCATACTTCTTTTCATTCGTGTCTTCTTCTTCTTCATTTTCAATCTCTTCTTCTTTTCATTCTTCTTTTCTTCTTCTTCATTCTTCTTCTTCGTCATTCTTTTCTTCTTCTTTTCATTTTCTTATTCTTCTTTTCTTCTTTTCATTCTTCTCTATTCTCTCATTATTCTTTTCATTCTTCTTTTCTTCTTTTCTCATTCTTCATTTTTCATTCATTCTTTCATTTTCTTCTTTCCTTCTTTTCATTCTTCTTTCATTCTTTTCTCACATTTTCATTTTCTTCTTCTTTTCATCTTCTTCTTCTTCTTTTCATTCTTTTCTTTCTTCTTTTCATTCTTCTTCTTCTTTTCATTTGCTTTCTCGTTCTTTTTTCATTTTCTCATTCTTCTTTTCATTACTTATTCTCATTTTCTTAGACCGCATTCTTCTTCTCTTTTCATTTTCTTATTCTTCTTTTCATTCCTTCTTAATACTTCTTCTTTTCATTCTTCTTTTCATTCTTATTCATTCTTCTTTTTTTCTTTTACCATTCTTCTTCTTCTTCTTGTGATTCTTCTCTATTCTTCTTTTCATTCTTCTTCTTCTTCTTTTCATTTTCTTTTCATTCTTCTTCCTCTTCTTTTCATCTTCTTCTTCTTTTCATTCTTCTCATTCTTTTCTATTCTTTTTCATTCTTCTTGTTCTTCTTTTCATTCTTCTTCTTCTTCTTTCATTCATTCTCATTCTTTCTTTTCATTCTTCTTATCATTCTTCTTACTCATCTTCTTTTTCATTCTTCTTCTTTTCTTTTCATTCTTCTTCTTCTTCTTATTACATTCTTTCTTTTCATTTTCTTGTTTCTCGTCTTCTATTCTTCTTACTTCTTCTTTTCATTCTTCCTTTTCATTCTTTTCCTTTTATTCTTCCTTCCTTCTTTTCATCTTCGTCGTGCCCGTGACTGCCCAAATGCAGTGAAGTGTGCGGTGATTCTAAGATCGACGGCACTCATCTGCATGTCATACTGACTGACAGTATTTGATTTCTCTTCCCAGCCAGGACTCCAAGGGCATTTAAATTAAAGTACAGTGTTCTGCACTAATATAAAGGCTCTCTGAAGCCTAGAAACCCTTTTAATAAGTTAAATTCGCAGCGAATAAATTCGCATCGAATCAAATTTCTCCCTCAAATTCGGCGAATCAGCCGAAATCGAATTTTTGAATAATTCGCTCATCTCTAATAATAATAATACATTTAATTCAATAATATAATCAAACCAAAAACACACTGAAATGTGAAATATAGCGCAAGTTCGCACATCACTGAGCAAGTCGCAGAATCGTTTTCAGTGTCTGATGAGGAATTTCCCCACGAATCATTATCACTCAATTCTGCAAGTGGTTCTGATTTACTATCGCTGTTCTCTAGCCGGTCTAAAACAAAAAAAAAAAAAAACCGCTTTTGACCTAAAGGGACGCTTTTTGGACGCCCATGGACGTTTCTCATTTTCCCAGGCAGAAAGAACAGTAAAAATGCAGGCAGGGCGCCGGCGGGACAAAGCACTCGGGACAAAATGTATGTGAAATCGGTTTGATACAGGAATGTTATTACTATCAGATTTGAGTGTATTTAGTGTATTTAGTGAATGTCACTTTTTGTCATTTTTAAATTTCCCGCCAGTTCCGTCCCCGTACATCCCGACGCTCGCAGGGACCGGAAACCGGAAGACAGATGCCGGCATCGGCCGGAGGACATTACAGGGGACACTGCAGGAGGGACATCGTGGGAGAGCAGGACAAGGTAAGAGAAGAACAGATCCCGGAGCAGCGCCACATGGTAAGCCGAGTGTTGCTCGGGGTTACCGCTTGTGGCACTGAAACTTTACCCCGAGCTACACTCAGGAATACCGCCAGGGGGGTTACAGTCAGATTCAGTGTGACCGAAGACGTACAGTCTTTTGTAGCTGGTAAAACCCCCAAGTAAGTGCAAATCCTCAAACCCTCACCCCCCATTAATAAACATTTTTTTAAGTGGTTATAAAGGCTACAAAATGTTTAAGTTACAGTGGATATAAAAAGTCTAAGTATAAAAAGCTGAATTCCTGGAATTCAGCTTTAAAGTGTTACTAAACCCACAACAGTAAAATCAGTTTGTATATGCAGGAAAGCATGCTTGTTATACTCACTGTGGAAACCTAAGGGGTTAATCCTCTGCATTGTGTAAAAATTCTGTTTGATCCTGACGTCTCTGATCCTCCTCTTCTTCCAGTGTCCCGCTCTTATCTCCTGATAAGGCATATGGTGTGGAATTACTCTGTACATGCTCACTTTGGTGTTTATTGCTATATATATATTTTTTTTCCTGGGAGGGTGCATGTGACCAGCACGGGGCCAATCAGCACTGTCCAGACGGAGGTCAGGGGTTATGCAGCCTCATAGGACAGTCAGGGGGTGAATGAAAACTCTTCCTACAAGCTTTAACCAGTGCTCTACTGGACACTGATAGAAGTCACAAGACTGCTATATACTTCTGATGAGAAAAGGTATTTAGCAGTTTATATTTACTCAAATAATTGCATTTCCATGTTGTGTGTACTGTGGGAGACCAGATATAGTGAATGCAGGGTCCGAGGAGACCAGATGTAGTGAATGCAGGGTCCAGGGAGACCAGATATAGAGAACGCATGGTCCAGGGAGACCAAATATAGAGAATGCAGGATCCGGGGAGACCGGGGTATAGTGAATGCAGGGTCCGGGGGAGACCAGATATAGTGAATGCAGGATCCGGGGGAGACCAGATGTAATGAATGCAGGGTCCGAGGAGACCAGATATAGTGAATGCAGGGGTCCGGGGAGACCAGATATAGTGAATGCAGGGTCCGGGGAGACCAGATATAGTGAATGCAGGGTCCGGGGAGACCAGATTTAGTGAATGCAGGGTCCTGGGAGAGCGATATAGTGAATGCAGGGTCCGGGGAGACCGGATATAGTGAATGCAGGGTCCAGGGAGACCAGATATAGTGAATACAGGGTCGGGGGTTTAGTAACACTTAACAAAAGTTTAAAATAGCCGAATGATTTGCATAAAAAAAAAAATTGTATGCATGAAATAACTACTGCATTGCTTCTTACAGTCTCTTGAACAAGGAAACACAGATATAAATAAGCGCTTCTTGTATTTGCATGATTTTTTTTTTTTTCATTGACAACTCCACTGTTACGCCCACCCCACTTTCCGATGCTGAGATGCTCAGGGGGGAGGCATTGTACATCCTGACATCTTGTCACTGCTTGCTCTCCATCCACACCTGCTCCACTCCGCACATTCTATCTGGTGTCATCCATCACAATACATTTCTTTTTATTTAATGAAATTTACAACTAATACTGTTACAGTTCATTTTTAATATTTAAATAAAAATTTGATTGGGTTATAGATATTTGATACATTTTCACAGCCAATGTACAATTTTTTTTATTTATTTTTTTTTGCTTAGAGTAGCAGCGTTCAAAGCACTGTCACTTTTTTTTTTCTGGTAAGACATCTCTTTTCTCATTGCAAAAAAAAAACGTAACTGTATCTGAGCACTACAAACTGAAAATGTAATTTAATTCATTTTTAATATTCAGCGCAAACTCCTCCATCCATCCATGTCTCCATGATTTATTTTGTTGAGAAACCACCCCCCCCCCAAAAAAAAAAGCATATATCTAGCTACGGCCATCTTGAGTAAGGGCAGATGATTCAAGTAGCACGTACCTCCTGAAATCCATCTGCCCTTAGCACAGGTATCCAGGCAGGAGGGTGTGCTTAGCTGAGAAAGCCCCTCTTCCCATGAAGACTCCTCCTGATGAAAGGAAACAAAAATACCCATTAAGACTCTTGGGATGTATGACATAATTCTGGACTAGGCAGAAAAACCAGGAAATAACTGAAGAAATGTAAATCAAAAGTTTAATGCAAGTAAGTATAAAACACTTTCCTATTTGTTTAATAATGCCAGCAGCATTTTTTTACCACCCACCCCAACCACAAGTGTTAATGAGTCCTTAGACAGTTGCCATCATTGGAAGTTTTACCTCCTGTTCTGGTGACATCCTTAAAATTTTGAATTTCCCAGGAAAAGCAGAAGATACTGGTGTTTAGGGAATATTGTACATTTTATATATGGGAATGAAAGTGACCTAACCCATCTGCACCCAGCCCCGTGCCCCTTTAGGCTCCATTCCCGCTAGGGTGTTTCAAATCGTGGGCAGAATTGCTGCGATTCTGCCCGCGATTTGCAAAAGCGCTGAAAAAAATGTGAAAACGTGCAATCGTGTGTTCAAGTGCCATTGATCTCAATGGCGCCTGAAAACGCAGGGAGTTTTTGCCATGATTGTGGTGTGTTTTTCTGCGTGATAAACGCACCACGATCACGCAAACAAAACTGTGAGACGTGTAACGTCCAAAAAAAGGTTCTAGAACAGTTTTTGGGTCCTGTGATTTTTTTTGCATGGAAAAACAAAACGTGCTGCAATCGCATTTTCAGGTGTCATTGAAATAAATGGCGCCTGAACATGCGATTGTGCATTTTCACATTTTCATAGTGCGTTTTCAAATCGCAGGCAGAATCGCGGCGATTCCGTCTGTGATTTGAAATGCACTAGTGTGAATGGAGCCTTAAAAACTTCTGAATGCCCAGGGGTGGGAAGGTTCAGTGATCCTGTGATCACTGTGATAGGCTGTCACAGTTGTCACATGATCTGTGGCAGGTCCTGCCAGCTACCAATCATTAGTGGGGACAGAGCTGTGTTTGACAGCTCTCTCTCTGTGCTGGGAGCATGCAGTGAGCGCGCTCTCAGCACATCGACCGCCCAGGGATGCATATGTGCGGCGTGTTGGCATTAAAACCCATCCTTTTGCAGCCGCACATATGTATTGCTAAGCTCCATGTAAACAGCCAAATACACAGACAAAATACATACATGTGCATTGTTTTACCTTTCAAAGGGTTTGTATTTCTTTCCATCCAATCCCTAGACATACACAGCTCTGCCACACAGCAAAGTCCTGAAGTCCTGCCCCCACCCTCTGACTGCACAGTTAACCAGTTGCTGCCTGGCCTATTGTCAGATGGCGGCCGAGCGAACACTTCGTCCCTCCGGGAGGGCGTCATATGATGTTTTCCCAAATCGCGAATTACGCGTGCCCGCAGGGCTGCGCTGCAGCGAGATCTGTCACACGTCCGATGACAGATCTGTGTACCGGCCCCGCTGCCAGTACCATGTGACCTGCTGTGACCAATCACATCAGGTCACATGACAGTTGTATACAATGGATGGCTTAATTTCATGCCATCCATTGTATACAAGTGTGTCTAGCTGTGAATGGTCACAGTGATCACATGCACAGGCTGGGCCAATCACAGCCCATCTGTGTCATGTGATTAGCCATGGCCAATCACAGCTAATCACAACAAAAAAATCTGAATGACTCGATTTCATTCAGTTAAATGCTTGCTTATAGCAAAGAAATTCTTTGCTATAAGCAAATTGTGTAGAAAAAAAAAAAAAAAAATACTGATCACTTCCCCAAAGTAGTACAATGTTACTATGGTAACATTATACTACTTTGGTCATAGTGTAATATGAAAAACAAATCTTAAAAAAAGAGAAAAAAAAAAATAAAAAAATTATAATTTTTTTTTATTGTCAGAGACCAGATTAGTGAATGCAGGGTCCAGGGAGACCAGATATAGTGAATGCAGGGTCCAGGGAGACTGGATATAGTGAATGCAGGGTCCGGGGAGACCAGATATAGTGAATGCAGGGTCTGGGGAGACCAGATATAATGAATGCAGGGTCTGGGGAGACCAGATATAGTGAATGCAGAGTCCGGGGGGAGAGACTGGATATAGTGAATGCAAGGTCTGGGGAGACCAGATGTAGTGAATGCCGAGTCCAGGGAGACCAGATATAGTGAATGCATGGTCCAGGGAGACCATATATAGTGAATGCAGGGTCCGGGGAGACCAGATATAATGAATGTAGGGTCCGGGAGACCAGATATAGTGAATGCAGGGTCCGGGGAGACCAGATATAGTGAATGCAGGGTCCGGGGAGACAAGATATAGTGAATGCAGGGTCCGGGGAGACCAGATATAGTGAATGCAGGGTCCGGGGAGACCATATATAGTGAATGCGGGGTCCGGGGAGACCAGATATAATGAATGCAGGGTCCGGGGAGACCAGATATAGTGAATGCAGGGTCCGGGGAGACCAGATATAGTGAATGCAGGGTCCAGGGAGACCAGATATAGTGAATGCAGGGTATGGGGAGACCAGATATAGGAAATGCAGGGTCCTGGGAGACAAGATATAGTGAATGCGGGGTCCGGGGAGACCAGATATAGTGAATGCAGAGTCCGGGGAGACCAGATATAGTGAATGCAGAGTCCGGGGAGATCAGATATAGTGAATGCCGGGTCCGGGGAGATCAGATATAGTGAATGCCGGGTCCGGGGAGACCAGATATAGTGAATGCAGGGTCCGGGGAGACCAGATATAGTGAATGCAGGGTCCTGGGAGACCAGATATAGTGAATGCAGGGTCCTGGGAGACCCAGATATAGTGAATGCAGGGTCCTGGGTTTAGTAACACTTTAAAGAAAAAACATACAACAGACTATTAATGAATACAAAGCTGCATTATTTTTCATCTTTAACACCATCCTGGAGTTCGGCTTTGAATCCTGTAGCATACTAACATTAGAAAATGGAGGAAATACAAGATCTTCTTGTGTAGAATAATGGGATGTGTTTTATGTTTTATGCATCCGATCTAGATTATTAAAACCAAACCACAATATGTGCAAAGAGGACAAGGATAAGCACATCACTAATGAAAACATTCATAGGGGAGGGATAATGTACTTCTCAGATAGCCTACAATATTTGTTTAGAGAGGAAAAAAAAATTAGCAGCGAGTAATCCATTAGGCTTTTCAGTAAACAGCGCAGATGGGTGAACGCGTTTGGCGAGGTGTGGGTTGGATATTAGCATTGCAATGCTACTTAAGCACATTCTTCTTTTGACAAATAATGGAACAAATTTTCATTACGCATTTCATTTTTAAGTAACAGCTAAAACGTAGGTACACAAATGTTTCTGCTACTTATCATTTTTTAAAGACCAAGTTTATTCCATCTCTTGGAAACATCAGCGGTGAGATTCTTTCCGTAATAAATTGCCTTTCTTTCACTTCAGACAAGGTCCTAATAGAGAATTCACCACTCTTTTATATGTTCCATCTTTAAATGAGTGTGTGTTGTTTGTGGTCTTGTAGCTCTGATAAAGGGGGTCTCATAGAACCCCCCAAAATGTAATGAAGCAGTGGTCTCTGAACAGAGGTCTGACATGGTCAGAACAAAGAATGCTCCAGTTATATACTGTATTTGTTCTATTATTTATTATTTTTATTATTATTATTAAAAATTGAGTTTTTACATTTCCTTTGATCTTTTAGCCCTGATAAAGGGGGTCCCCTAGAACCCCAGAAATGCGGTGGATTTTTTAATATACTTTTGTGGAAACAGTGGTCCCTCTGCAGAGGTCTGAGAAGGTCAAAACAAAGACTGCACCACTCATCTATTTCTTACATTTTTTATTGAGTTTATTTATTGTTTGTGATCTTGTAGCTCTGATAATAGGGGTCCCATTGAACCTCAGAAATATTATTTTTCTTTCCGATAAAATTTGATGAAGCAGTGGTCTCTATGCAGAGGTCTGATAAAGACAAAACAAAGAATGTACTGCTCATCTGCCTGTTAAATTTTTAATTGCATCTAGAAAATGTTGGCGATTTTGTTGCCCTGATACAGGGAGCCCCGTAGAACCCCAAATATGTGTTGGCTTTTTTTCTTTTAGATATACGAAGAAAGATATAAGAAGCAGTGGTCTATATGCAGAGAACTAATAAGGTAAGGAAAAAAAAATCTGCTCATCTATTTGTTACATTTTTAATTGTATCTCTATATTGTTGTTTTGTGATCTTGTAGCTCTGATAAAGAGGGTCCCCTAGAACCCCAGAAATGCATTGTCTTTTTTTCTTTTGGATATTCTTTGATGAAGCAGTGGTCTCTCTGCAGTGGTCTGACAAGGTCAACACAAAGATTGAACTGTTCATCTATTTTCTAAATTTTAAATTGCGTCTATATAATGTTTGTGATCTTGTAGCCCTGATAAAGGGGGGGGGGGGCTCTAGAACCCCAGAAATGTGTTAGACCTTTTTCTTCTAGATATATATAGTACTCTGATAAGGCTCTCTCTCTTTGAAGAGGTCTGACAAGGTCAAAACAAAAAATTTTCCACTCATCTATTTGTTGTACTTCAGTTGAGTTTATATATTGTTTGTGATCTCGTAGCCCTGATAAAGTAAGGGGCCCCCTAGAACTTGAGAGATGCGCTCTGTGCAGCGGTCTGATAAGCTCAAATAAAGAATTCTCCACTCGTCTATTTGATATATTTTTAATTGAATCTATGTATTGTTTGTGATCATGTAACCCTGATAAAAGGAGCCCCCTAGAACCCCAGA